AAGTCTGTCATGGCGCCAGTGTACGGCTGCCACTCCCAACATGACTGCTTATTGCGGTCATCAAACAACCACCAACGGTGACATCTTAGTATCACCTGGCCGTGGTGCCTGCCACTGGAATGTGCTACCGGTCGACGAATGTCGGAGGCTTTCTCTCATTATTCATTGCCCCATTAGTCCAACGTTCGCCCCATTAGTCCAAAGGTGTGAGGAGTTCTGATTTGATTTTACCATTGCCCCATTAAGTCCAAAGTTCGCCCCATGAGTCCAAGGGTGTGAGCTGTTCTGATTTCATTTCATCAGCGCCCCATTAGTCCAAGGCACGCCCTATGAGTTCAACGCGTGGAGCTCTGATTTTTCATTTTTTCCAAGGGATCGTTTCATCCCTGACTCTGACTGGAGCCAATATCAACGATGCAGACATTTCAGCTTCCGCATGCTGAAAACATGTTAAACAAGCAAAGCCCAGAAAAAAACGGAAGTCAACTGACACCATCTAAAACCCACGAGTGCTGGCATTTACAGCATTTCGGGGCTTGCAATGCCACAAAATTGTACCGTCACGAACGTAAGCGGAGCCTCCTACTACTACTACTACTACTACTAGCCTCCCACTACTACTACTACTACTACTACTACTACTACTATCACCACGACTACAACGACGATGACGACGATGACGACGAGGAGGATCACAACGAGGGGTACGGCGACGACCACGTCGGCGACGAAGACGGCAAGTAAAGCACAACGACGAGGAGCACGATGACCTCGACTATTGTTCTGAGTCTCTGTGCATGCCAGCAGAGGGAAACTAATGCAGCCACCCACAAGCTTGCCACTGGTTGGTTGCGAATGGAGGAATGGTTTCTGGACAAAGTAAAAGAACGAATTTTGAGGATTCCATAGCTACCACTACATAGGGAAGCCTGTAGGATTGCAATCCTTGATTCCAAACTGACACGAGGCAAGAGGTCTAAGGGCAAGAAGCACTACTGCAAAACAGTTCCAGGTACAATAGATTACTGCAAACAGAGACCCGCCGTGCAGACTGTTACAACCCCTGATGTTGGAAACAACCATAGGAAAAGGACCTAAACAACTTCAGACTGCAAGGATCCAGAGGTGTGTTGGCATCGAAAGAGTCAGGCTTCCCATTTTTTAGAGTTTAACCAAACTACTCTGCCGCCACCTGTCTGTCCAGCGGGCTGACTGCGCTTGGAAAGTCTGGCTCACATGGTGGCCCCAGTAATTTCGGCATGGCATGGGGGTTTCACGGTGCCGAAGTGTTGACCGGCACTGAGCTTGTCGCCTTGTTGCAAATGCTCAGCACCAAGTCCTCCAGGCAGAAGGAATTATGCAAGGCGAAAAAGCTTCCAGCTTATTCGCCGGTCCACAGCGCAGCGCAGCCTGACAAAACCAACTGAGCCACCGGCGTTCGGCAGCACCTGAAGAAGACAGAGTCGGAACGTAAAAACGTGCAGAGGCTTCGTAGGGAAATGGCCCTGAAAACTCCGCCATCTGTGTTTACAGTTACTGCATCAGTGAAACTGGAAACTTCAGCTGGACAGCTGAAAGTTGGCACCCAACCTTGATCCAGCTCATCATCGAGATATGCTGGTACCGTGGCTTCCTGGTCCTGGTCCTGCCCAGCCTGGCGGAAGTTTGGGTTTTGCACATTGGAATCATGCCAATGAATGGTTGCAGAAACATGCGCGAGACACTTTTCGCCACCACGGCTCTGATGCTTTGACGGTCAAATCACCAAAGCTCAGCTCAGAGCACTGCAGCCCTATCGGAAGGTCCTCTGTTGAAGAAGGTGTTTGTACTAACCTTTCTGCTTTCTCGTCATCGCATGCACCCTGCCACAGAAAACCTGCCATGTCGTGGTAGAGGCTATCGTTTACAAGAGGTGAGCCCAGTGACGCAAGCTGGGCTCGAACCTGATGCGTTCGACCGGTTTCTAGGTTCAACAGCACCTCCTCTCCAGCATCCACAGACTGGGTTGACAACACAGTCATCCGTGCCTCTTTCCACTGATGTTTGCTATCTCCAACGGGAGCGTCTACGGGAGCAACAAGACGCGGTGCCGGCTTGCCAAAGACAGCATCTGAGATCCAGTGCTGCAAAGATGTGTTGGCTTCGACCTTTTTGCCAGAAACAAAGGCACGGTAGCGCTTTCTTACAGCGCCTTCACCGAGCATCGACCGGAATCGCTCTGCTGCTTCTTTGGTCCTTGCTAAAACTGTCAAGCCGGAGGTCGCCACATCCAGTCTGTGGCATGCGACCAGCTGTTCAGCGACCCCGGTGTCAGCCCTTTTGCCTTGCTCAGCCATCAGATGCAAGGCAAGGGCCGTGGCCACGAAAGGGACAAGCCACTCCCCTTGGCTTGGCTTTTTTCCGGGATCCTCCTTACTATAAAAATTACATTAATACGCTATCATATAGTACAAGATGCTAGACTGCATTATAATCAGCAATGCCAATGCCCTCAGAGTGCCTACATGCCATCTCCAGGTCATCAGAAAATCTTGCGATGTAGCCGGGCAGTGGAAGCTGTCAAGTTGGGCTCTCTTTGGTGGAAGTATTCAATCTCCAACTTATATGGGGGAGCTCAGCGGTCAGAAGGATCAAAGGTAAGGAACTGGGGGCAACAGGTCAAAAGACTGGGGAAAGCAAATCCGTTTTCTAGGGCTGGGCCCATAAGGTGAAAAGGCCTAGAAACGGAAACTAAACGTGAGCAATCAAGTTGCATTGTGTCGGAACAGTCTCACACAGCTCAAACACCCTTTACACTCTTCGTGATTGTGCAGCGACTCTCAGGTCCTTCATACATCTACATCCAAGCTTCGCCCATTGCTGACATGAGGTGCGCAGGGTACGCCAGCAGGCTTGTCCACAACAACGTATTGCGAATTGATGCATCGTAGGCGCTTAATCCAATCACGCGAATCCATCCAGCATTCCGGATATCGCTTCGGCTCTGTATGTACTCGAAGCTCCCCGCCTTTTTCCACTAATGTCTCCTGCAGCAGCGGTCCAGAACCAAGCGACAATGTCATCTACAATCTAGAAGTCTTCTATCTTCGATGTCGTTTCGGCTCAAACGCATTACAAGATCGACTCACTGTCCGTTGACAAGAGATCGGCTTGTATGCACATCTTCCAATGTTGCGCAGGTGCATTGTCATGGCGTTGTTGTGTACGATGAGTTACCATGACATGAGGGAGTTCAAGTCCATGCTCCTGCATCAACAGCCTTCGGTCAGAGTCCGCCGGAAGTAAGGTACTCCCGACACGTTCAAAGCGAAATCCACGTGGCTGCATGTAGTACACAGCACCTCAGTGATGAAATCCGAAAAACACAGGGGAAATCAAATGCCAGCGCCAGTGAAAGAATGCTAGCCTCGCTTGAGCTTGAGATAATTGGGTTCAGAGTTCAGAGTTGAAGTCATTCCGCAGTTTAAGTTTGCAAGTTTAGTTGCCAAAGTGTGACAGCTGTGTAGCATTCCCTTACTGGTGGTCAGTACGGAATAATGGTTCCTATAAAGCTTTTATAATACCTAGTGACATCTAGTGACCATTTTCGCTTCTTTTCCAGTCCTTCATTCCCTGCTAGCCACCAGTAAGACCAAAACCATCCTAAACCTCAGGCGCTATTGTATGCTATTGTAGCTTCCATCCTTTCTTCCAAATGCTGAGTCAAGAAACTGAAATGAATGCCAGTATGTTCTGCTCAAGTCATGTCAGGTTGACTGTAAGCGCTACGGCAGGGCTTACGCCAGCAAATAGATTGCCAGTGGGAATAGGTGTCTTCAAACCACAAAGTGGTGGTTCCACAAACTGAAAAGGAATCTGTAGGCATGAACAGGGTATCTAGGGTGCACAATTTTTGCAAGTCTAGCGACCCAAGGCTAGTAGATCCGCAATGAACTCGCTCGTCACAGCAGGAAGGAGTCCGTGCAAAGATGATGCAACAGAGTCTGTCCGGTTAACCGTGGCATAGACTACCTGCAGTTTCAAACATGCTCCGCACCTGCAAGAAAACAAAGCCATGGTTCTTACAGTATTCCTTCAGCACAGCAGAAACCACCTTCCGCGAAGACCTTCCACTTAGCTTCCGCGAGTAGGCTTTGTAGGCTAGGCTTTGCTCCTTCTGCCTTTCGTGGCTTCAGTCCACAAACCTTTGACAGCTGGATTTCAGGACTTGCTTCCGCGAGAAGGCTTCGAAGACTACCGCTCAGATTTGCATGTGGGGAGGCTTTCTGAAGTCACATGATTCCGTGAGCCTTTCGCGATGAAGTACTTCCTCTTTATTGTGCCCATCCGTTTATCGCTTGTAGCATAAGATCATACATGACAGCCGCTGCTCAGCTGTTCAGGGCGATTGATTAACTCATGTAGTTGTCTTTGCTCAAACGTGGCATTGATACAAGACTGTAGACGAATGCATGACGCAAACTACCAGCCTTCCGTCATAGGGTGCATCTTTGCAAGAGCCAAGAATCGCCAGGACTTCGCAGACGCTGTCGCTGCGAGAGGGGCTTCGAAGCCTGGGAAAAAGAGTGTCTTCAGCGGCCTTCAAGAAGAAAGACATGCCGTCGTGCCTTGGTTCTGGGGCGAGATGGCGGGCGGTATGCAGGCACCGCGACAGGCATCGCCAGGACACAGAGCACCATAGCAAGAATGCGCATTTGTGCACTGCCCCAGGCCCACACTGCAGCAATCGGTCTTGACAAAAAACAAGCAGCAGGAGCAGTCTTACAGAATCTCTTGAGAGTGCTGCGTTGCATCCCCACACGCCTGCATTTATCTAGCCCAAGCGAGCATCATGCTGCTGCAAGCGATTTTTTAAAAGTTGTTGCCAAACTTGTCAACTCGGTTTCATCGTAGTGCTGAACCGGCTTGCTGTTCAAGCCACATAAGCATCAGATGCAAGTCAACAGCAACAGCGTGATTTACTTAAATGCTGGAATGCCAGAGTAATTCTTGGCAAATTAGAGAACCAGGGAAAGGCAATAATGATGCAAATGAGCCACCAGCCGGCAACAGCAACCACCACATGACAAGCTGTTGCATCTGTTGCCATGTATGCCATGGTTGCCGACACATTGTCTATGACGACCTTCGTTCAAAGCCTCATCATCTTCATCCCTGACGTTGCCGCAAGCACCAAGAGCAACGTTATCACCAAGAATAAAGGTTATCGAGCCTGCCATGAACATTGTCATCGTCACCATCAACAGCATCCCGAGCATCGTCACTGTCATCATCCTCACCTATACTCTAGGGCCCATTGCAGAATGATAGCCTGCAGCAAGCTCAACTTCCTAGTGTGTTTTCGGCACTACACTGTTTGCAGCGTTTGGACAAATGAGGGAAATGGAGGCCGAAAGCCAATGTGAGCTTTAAGCTTCTGCCAAAATGTCTTGTACCGTATCTCCTGACCGGAGAGAGACTGAGCACCCTGGCAGGTGAGCGCAATGCGCTTTGCCTGCCATTGCTAAGACGTCTGATATCACCCGGGTGTTTGGTAGTTGGAGCCTTGTTTACGCCAGAACCCACACAGCTTGTGCATCCCTGGACCTCATGAACAAAGTTCTGAAGGTGTAAGCACCCCATCAAAGGTTTGGAGCTTGCGCCGGCCCATCTGATAAAGAAACTAAGAATGCTCAAGAGCCGACGGTTTGCTTGAGTTGACGAGGACAGGTTCGGCCCTTCGCCCGGATTTAAGCATGAGGCCTCTCCAGGATTTGTTTCTGCAGGCTGTACCCCGAGTCCAGAGGGGCGGCTTTTAACTGGGGAACTTCCTCTGTTCTGTACAGATAGGGCACCATCCAATCTTCAAGCGCCTAATCTGCATATGAGTTTTGGAAGCAGAAGCTAAGAACAGCTCAGGTTGCTACTATGCTAACAGCATCGTCTCTCTCACCGCTGAGGAGGAGGAGCAGCAGCAGCAGCAGCAGCAGCAGCAGCAGCAGCAGGAGTAGGAGGAGGAGTAGTAGTAGTAGTAGTAGTAGTAGTAGATGTAGGCGCTGCGTAGAGAGGACACAAGGAGTTCTGCACATAGCAGGCCTTCACTGGGCATCACAGCAATTCAATGCCACAAGCATCTTGAATGCTTTTTCGCACTTGGCTATGGGGGCATGTATCACGGACCTTAGGGGGGACAAAACGATTCACAATTTCGATGACCGCTTACTGCTCCAGATGGATTCGTATTTTGTATTGAGCTGGCCTGAATCATGGGAACTCAGCAACCCGCAGCATTGTCGGCTGGCGCTCGCTCTTTTCATTTGCGCTGCATGTTCAGGGCGGGTCTTCGCATGCCTGCGCAAGGTATGGTTCCACTCACCCACAGCATGCCATGTTCCAATGCCGGGGCCATGAAGTGCAGGCTGGACTTGAACTGGAACATAAGATTACATTCCTGTGCGGCGCTACATGCTAACAGCAAGCTCCAGACACCCACCAACATCTCATGGTAGAAATTTGGGGCTTCGTTTCTAGCTTCACGAAAAACTCGGCCTGTTTCAATGTCTCTTCGGCGAGTCGGCGCCACTCATCAGCTCTGAGAGGCTCAGCAGCATGTTCCTGCTCGAAATCGAAGGCGGAGCGATCAGGCAGGTAAAGTAAGATTCGCAAGCGTGGCGCAAGAATTTGGTGGTCCTGCTGTTCCTCATCAAGTTCTGCTTCGATTTCCACATCTTGAGTTTGTGAAGGCTCTGCTAGTCTCCTCAGACTTTGTTCAATCCCAATTCCGCTGCATGAGGCCCCATGCTTCAGGACCTCTCATCTCAGACCTGCAAGAAGTTCATGTCACGTGCCAAGGTGCCCCGATCCAGTGTCGTTCGTCAACTCGCCGTCGACCAGTCCTTCTGGATTCATAGGAGTCTCCTGAATCACTGAATGCCACAGAAGACATCAAAGGTCCAATTTCCGAAGCCCCGGGGTCTCTTCGGGGTCCTTCGCGGTCTCCGGCAGCTCTACCGGCTCTACCTCATCCAGCTCGGAGATCTCTGGAGCCTGTAAGCCTGAGTGTCTGAGTGTACCGCATGTTCCATGCATTCCAATGTCAGGATTCAGTAGGCAAGGCTCGCCATGGCTGCTGCAGAGCTGATTCAGCTTACTGGGGGATGCCAGCGATTAACAAATTAACATCCATGCTGCATCGCTGCTACTGTCGTGGTGTTGTCCCTGGCGATGACCGTTCTCGAGCTCAGGTTTGCCCTCATGATGCCATCATCACCCTAGCTGCTGTGAGGTTGTTGTTGCATCTGACTGATGTCAAGTCGTGAAAACATGGAGGGGATGAATCCAGTGGAGCATGGTTGAAGTCAGGGGAGCCTGAAGATGGGATCTGAAGGCTGACGCTACGCATCTGCTGCCAGGAAATCTCAACTTGACCTTTAACTATGCTCCACTCGCGCCACTCCCCTGTGATGCAAATGCGATTGGGGTCAAGAAATGCGCTGAATGCTTCTGGAATGTATCCTGCACATAGTCTAATGTGGTTACTCGGGAGCGTGGAAGCCTAAACTCTGCCAGCCGCAATTCATCCAGCAGACGCTGAGCGATGGCAATCTTGGCTTGACAGCCCGCTGCCCCAATGACATCCTTGTCGCTTGAGTCGGTGTAGAAGTCCTAGGTGTTCAGATGCCACCACTGCAGGGATGGCAGCTTCAAATGGGTCCTCCCCAAACTCAAGCTGCCGGCCCAGGTGCCACAGCAGCCCAGTCCAACCATTTCTGCATTGCATCTGCACCAAGGGGCATCTTTTCTGGGTGCCTCGGTCGGAGGAGCCATGGAGCCTTGCGCACAAGCTACCGAAGACTCTAATTCCAAGTTACTCTTGCCGGCAGGTGATAGACAGGGTCTGACGATCCAGGACCGTGCCGACCGCTGTCCAGGGCTCATGGGCAAGCTGTGCCCATCCGTGCTGCCTCAGAGCATCTGAAAGCTTTGCAAGGCTCGTGTTGCCTTGCCCACGTTACAAGTTCAGTTCCATCACTGCTAGTCTTAAGTTCCCTGCTCGGACTGAGCCTTCTTGATGAAAGCTTCCAACTCCTCCAGTCCTACAAATCTTCAGGATGCAAAGGACATCTCTGCCTTGCACGGCAGGAGATTTGAACGCTCTCCTGTCCTTTCTGTGCTGGAGGCCCTGACGGTGTTCGACCGTTTGACTGGTCGAGCGCCTACATGGCTGCTGCACAATCCTACCTGTCCTGGACGAAGCACCTACGGCAGCTTAGCAGGATCTGACGGCAGTAGCCTTTCCCTTTCAGTCTGCGAGGCCTCGCACAACGTCGAAAACATATCGGCGCCGGCATCGAGGCTTTCTTGCTTCAAGGCTGCCCACAAGCGCGAGCAGCGGGAGGCCTGAGCCAAAAGCTCAGGCAGCTTCAAAGCTCCAATGGAGGTTGTTTTTTACTGATGCCGCAAGGTTGCCATCTGGTCGGCCCGGCTTGAGCTTGCCATCTGGCCCATCGTGGCAAGCCGTAGTGATGGCAACAAGCTACTCAATGCGCAGCGAGCTCGTGACGGAGAACTCAGCTCAGGGGATGCCAGCCGTGAAGCTTCTAAGGCAGCCAGCAGCATGAGCTGAGGGCAAATGTGGGCAGTTGGGGAAAAACTTTAGTTACATGCAGTGTCCTGCCTTCCAGCGTCTTTGTCTGGAACTTCTGTGGACATCAGGGCCCAGAGCCAGCGCAGCATTCTGTCGGAGTCCTCACTTGAGGGCTCCTGGATCCAGAGCTATGCCAAGCAGGCGGAGCGATGACTTCCCATGCTCAAACGCATGCTGAGTCCTCTAGGTCAGCTTTCCCGTGCCCAGCTTCGCAGAAGTCCTCGGCTGTTGCAGAGCTGGGCTTCTTGTGTCAGCATCTGCTTCGGATACCCTGCAAAGAAAGCTGTGGTAGGCACCTCAAATGTTGTTTTTCAAGTCGTTCTACAGATTCTACATCAGGCTGTATACAGCGCAGACGTTGAATCTATTCACCCGGAATTATTAACATGATCGAATGTGTCTGCCATGTGTCGGAAATATTTCGCAAGCTTGGACAATTGTCCGCAGATCCTTCAAGCTTTGCTGTAGGAAGTCCGGCAGCCGCGAAAAGAAGCTGGCGAAGCAAGCGCAAAGCAAAATTCTCGGAGCAGCTCCTTCAGCTCACAGAAGCAGGAACGAGGTTTGCTAGCAAATTGACCTTTAAGCCTTACTTAAATGGAAGCAGAACTCTTGGGGAAAGAGTGCTGCTTGATGTAGACGAGCTACTCACAAAGCAGCTGAAGAGCTCGGGCTTCTCTTACATCTGGATGCGGCTCCCCTTCGAGCACCTTCCAAGCGGAACTGCAGAGCCATGCGGAGTACGGTCTTGAAAAGGCGGGGCCAGGCCTCAAGAACACGGGAAAGGAGCCGGCTTTCATCTGCGGCTAGTCCGGCTACTTCTTTGGCAGCCTGTTTAGCTGCAGATTCTGCCTGTGCAGCCGCGGCTTCAACGTCCAGATCCTGCAAGGCAACTGCTTCTACTTCATAGGCAATGCAGCCTGTGGTGGCAGAAGCACGGACCGCGTTTGCATGGCAGAAGGCCTCCGCGGATGGCACCTTGCTGCCAAGCTTGCGGCGCTTGCGAGACTGCTCGTATGCACCACTTTTTCCCACGGACCAAATCAGAGCCTGGACCAGGGAGACTTGCGGTGATTCTGCAGTTCAACAACCGTGCTCCCGGCATCAGGAAGCAGCAAGCATGTGTAAGAAGAGAGCTGTTACACACCCCTGACCTTGAGTTTTCGATCCAATGTTCTGGCCCCTCGATCAGTTGCTTGGAGCCTGCTGGTACCTAGGCTTCACACGCAAGGGCCTTTGCACAATGCTGTTCAGGAATGCTTTGCGTCAAGTAGCGGCTTCCTCTCTCCTCAATTTGTTGCAGTTGAGGTCTCCAGTAGCGCTCGACCAGGAGCCTAGGCGGTAAGTGCTGGTATCTTGATGACCTTAAGCTGCAGTGTCAGGACGAGGTGCCAAACAGCCTCCTGGGCGGCCAAACGAAGTATCGGCAACGAGGGCAGGTTCTCAGCCACAGGTTGCAACCAAGACTCATGTGATCCTATGAATGAACATCCTCACACCCCGAAAGCAAAAACTGCAGTTGTTTCTGTGACTGCTGCCATCTGCTGTCTGCCGTTTTACCGTTTGGGTCGTTTGCAGCTACTGGATAGTAGTGGTGCCCAGGCATTCACAGCAAGGTGCCTGATGGGAGGCTTCGTGCCGCAGATCCACAAAAAGCTGGGGCCATTCTGCACTCTGCGCCCTGGCCAAGATGGAGCCGGGCTTGGGCTTGCCAGTTCGTGAGACGTCCTGGTGGAAGGCTTTACAACACGGCGGGTTGATGTCAGTTTGCGTCTTCTAAATGATGACTGTTGATTGGATTATACTTTTCTCGTTTTTAGGACTCTATAGGGGCTACCACAAGGGGCCCATTCCTCTATTCCCTTTAACACATACTGTCCCCCAGAGAAGTTCTTAAGATGCACTACCGCTGTTTCAAATGGAACAACTGTGGCCGCGACCACGATGCCATTGACCAAGCGAACCACGGCCATTGCATACATGAGCCGTAGCTCATGGTCGCTTCTAGGTGCCAACGTCTCCGGGTTGAGGTAAGCATCGTTCAACATGATCTCCACAAAGCTTGCTGTAACATCAACAGCCACCGGAAGGCGGCATCTTGTCCTCCTTGATCCAGAAAAGCATGCACTGCCGCATTAGGTGGAAGGACATGTGTACCCCAAACATTTCCCAACCGAGCATCCAGGTTTCCACGCGTTTAACACCTCTCGCCCTTTCACCAGGCTGAGGGGATGTCAACTGCAGAAAAACTCCGTGGAATTCGGCCCAGGAGGACCAGGGAGCAACTCGGCTCATACTGGCCAGCTCAACTTGGTAGCAAGTTCGTGAACTTAGAAGATACCAGTTTTGACTTAGTGCTTTGAAAAAAACGGCACAGATACGAGATGCTGCGGTGATCTACCGTTGGTTGTTTGCTGCATGTAAAGACAGCGTTATGGAGCTGCAGCTGGAGCCAAAGGCAGCAATCTTGCCAACTGGCGAGGCACGGCTGATTCACTCATGCCTAGCGGATGCAGAAACTACTTGAAAACTTCGTGAGCACTGCGCCAGACTTGCTGTATGGCGGCCTTATTCGACTCCTCTTGTCTGCCCCCCTCCGCCGGCATGGCAGTCCTGACTGGACCAAGCTTCTTATGGCAAAGATGCAGAAGCGGGGTGATCTGCCATTTCATTGAGGTCGTGACGAACTTGTCGCGCAACTGCCTGTGAAATCCACTCAGCTGGTGGCGCAAGTGAGGCTAAACACTTGCTCCACGACAAGCATGTTATGCTGGCAAGCTGTAAACAGCGGGCCGAGAGCCTCCGGTCAAGGCGCTTGTGCCGCCTGGGAACACCAAACTCCCCAGCTTGCCGGAGGTGTAGACTGACATGAACCACCATGTACGCAGTGCCGAGAACCACACAAGTCCGCGAGTTCACCAGGCTCACCCCATGTGCTCCCTAGCAAGTTTCAGCACTCTCAACGTGACCATGGCATTGCAGTACAGGGGTCTGATGTCTTCAAAATCGTTTTCGCGCCACTGCCTGCTCCATCATCACATTGAGCCTGAGTTTCTAAACCCTCACAGGCTCAGGAGGGTTTTTACAGAGCCAAACAGAACAAGAACTTTTACGAGCGTTCTGACCCGGCTTCCCGTCTAGTCCAAGCAGCAGATCCGCCAGGAAATTTGCGTTCCTAGCATCTGCTGCAGTTCTGGTTGCCACGATAACAAACTCTGCCTGCCGGCACGGACCGCGTAACATTCACAGCAACTCAAAAAAGCGTTGTGGACAATCTCAGCGCCCATGATGCCCTATGCATGCCTCGAATGTTACGCTGACAACCTGCGGCATCTTGATGACCTTTTGCCACAAAAGCAAGGTGATGAGCATTATCATCACCTTCCCACACCGCCTGCTCTAACAATGATGCGCGGAGCTCCTCGTTATCTTGCTGAAGGGGTTCCTGGTCTCTGTAGAAATCAAGGAGCTTGTGACACAGAGCTATGAAGGCTACCTGCCTTTAGAGCCACTTGGCCTCCTTGATCCTGCCAGGGTAGCGAGCCAGTCAGCTTTGCTAAGTGTGCGGTGCCGTCCTTGGCTTTGCTTGTCACATCCAACTCATCGTCGTGATAGCTCCTGGTGCAACATACGCTCTGGCATGCTCTTTTTCATGCACTGGGGCTGCAGATTGTTGAGTTCCTCCATTTCTCCAGACTCAACATCACACAGGACACTGCAGGTTGCCTCAGTGTCAGTCCTGGCGAATTCTGCGCCATCTGCACGACTGACGATCCACCCGAGCATGTTCAAGGCAGTCTGCAGAAGGTGCATCGGGCAATCGGGAGCATCCCAAGCTGAGCAAAGTAAACGCCAGGCATTAACGTGCCCCATGGCCTTTTTGTCCTCGATCAGAGTGTCCTCCGCTGCCATCTTAACGCAATTGGCATATGCCTGCCTCACAGCAATCACCGGCGGCTCTGCAGGTTCACACAACTCCGGCTTTAACGAATCCTTGAACTTGCATGTTTCCTTGGCAAAGCGGCAGCCTCACTTTCGGCATATCTTCCTCGCTGATGGCATCACGGTATCCTGAGGGGCCGATAATGCAAAGCTATATGGCGTTGAAGTTGTTAGCTGCATGGATACATATCTGATGGGCAATCATGGGTAGGCGCAAAAGCTAGGATTCCGGCTTTCATAGCACTTCCTCACCATACCAACCTTTCTGGTCATTGCAAAGTCACGGGGTCCCCAAAAATCTTGCAAGCCTGCCGCGGTCCAACTACATGCTGGAGCTGTTGTATCGAAAGTCTAGAAGGTTGATTCGAAGCCCTCTGCTTTCCCTCAGCATTGCTGGGCCGCTAACACAATGCACCTGGACCCTGCTGTCCGGATGCTCAATGAAGAACATCAAGGAGGTGCAAACCCGACCTGCCCAGACCATAATCTTCTTCTTTGGGAATCCTTCTGAAGTGGGAAGCTCTCGGAGACTTGCGATATGAATATGCCCCTGCTGGGTGCGTGTATGCACATTTGTACATGTTTAGCAGTTTAGCAAGCTTGGAGAGTGAATGCGCATGCGCGCACAGGCGTATGTATGTATGTATGTATGTATGTATGTATGTATGTATGTATGTATGTGTATGTGTATGTGTACGTGTATGTGTATGTGTATGTGTATGTCTATGTCTATGTATATGTACATGTACATGTATATGTATATGTATACCTGCCTGTGTGCACGTGCGCGTGTACGTGTGTACGCAGGTATGCATGCATGTCTGAAGATGTACATGTACAGACATGTATACAAACACTCAGACGCAAATGCAGTGACTATGTTTTGAAAGGGCCGGTTTCGAGGGGTATGGAAAATCAAGAGAGAATCTCCAGGCACTACAACCACTTTCCATTCCATTTTCCATTTGACTCTCCAGTATTCTGGATAATCTCCTTATGTAACCCTATAATCCTGTATAATCCCAAGCGACCCCTACATAATCCCCTATAATATGGAGCCCTAGAATCCCATAAGATCCTCTGTAACCGTACGTAACCGAAGGACCTGCTGCTGCTCGCATCTCCTGGTCATTGGCATCGCTTCGTTCCACGCCAGTGACAGCGGAGGAGATGCCCCGAACCTGACTCTTAGGTCATATAGAGGGTTCTATAGGGTTTTCCGTAGGTTTTCCAGGGTCTTTAGGTGTTCCATAAATGTTGTTTAGGGTTTAGGGTTCCCAGAAGTGGGAAACCTTTTCGGGGGTCTCCATAGTAAGGATTATAATATATTTGGGTCTATATTGGGGTCCCCCGATTTAGAGAAACGTAGGGAAACTATCATATAGTGAGAATGGACAAGCAAATGGAAACTACAATATTATCTAGGATCTGGGTTTAGGGAGATATGACCCCCAAGAATGGAAAATCAAATGGAACAGAACATGGAAAATTAAATAGAAACTGGGATTATAGAGGCGAAGGACCAGTTTGTGTTGGACCCCGGGTTTCCGTCTTAAGGCTCTTTCGCTCAAGGGTTTGGGGAAGTTTGGGGTTAAGGGGCTTTCACCAGACATGGAATCTCAAAAGGAGTCTTTCAAAGGCTAGGACGAAGAAGCGGGGTCCTTAACCTCTATAATCCCAGTTTCCATTTCATGTTCCGTCTTCTTTTCAATTTGATTGTTCATTATTGGGGGCATATCCCCCTAAACCCTAAACCAGTATTGGGGGATGACATCCCCTTTTGAGAGGGGGACCTGCCTGCAGGCCCTGAGTTTGGAAACGGTGGTTTCCCTAAATAAGGGGACCCTAATACTACAGTCCTGTTTATGGGGACCCCCCAAAAAAGTAACTCTAATTTTGGGGAAACTCCATTAGATCTTTTAAGCAAAGGGCCCACCTTATACCCTTCAATCCTCTCTAGGGGGACTCTGCAAAACAGACTGCTGAACCCCCCACAGAGTGGCAATGCTCCGGCAGGTCTGCCATGCCAAAGCCTACATATTGGGGTTTTACAAGGACAATGGAAAAGATTGGAAACTACTACATTATAATGGGGTATAGATGATTCTCAGATTCGGTGGTCTTAGGTGCCCCAGGGATATCTGGGGATTATGAGGAGATTGGGGATCATATGGGGACGATTTTCAGAAGTTCCTGTGTAAGAAGCTGTTCAGGAAAACTGGCAACGGCTTCCCAAAGGTAGAGTTATTTGAGCTATAGGCCCAGTTGTGGCTACCTATGATGAACCTCCAAAAAACTTCCTGGTCCCAGATAATCCCTATATAACATATTCCC